GGCTGGGGCTGCGGCTGCTGATGGGAAGCACGTGGCCTGCAGGACCAGCTGCTCGTGGCCAGGAGACCGCGGGAGCGGCTGGGCCTCCAGGCCTGGTGTCCGCCACTCCCTGGGCCCACAGCGAGCAGGACTAGGTCGGTGCCTGATGGGTGGGAGCTCTGCTGCTCTGCCAGGAAGTCACGGCCCTGCCCAGGGAGTGGCTGCCCTCGGAGGTGAAGGGAGGAAGCGCCCACGAGGAGCTGCGTGTGTAAGTGCAGTCCTCCCTGGAAAACAGCTCCCCCTCGGGTCCAGGAACGGCTGCCCTGTGGCTGCCTCCACACCTGACAGCCCCCCAGTGGCGCCCCTCGGGGGACATTGAAGGTGCAGAACTACCGGCCTGCGCACTGGCTCCCAGGCCAGAGCCACGTGGCTCCAGGGGCAGCGGACCCCCTGCCTGCTGAGGTGCCCTGCAAGCTGCAGACCCAGGTTGGCCCCCAGGCCCTCCTGCATCTCTTGAGACCCCTCCTGGCCCTCCAGCCTCTGCATCTCCTCCTGGGACCACCGGACAGGAACTCAGGTTTGGCGCACACACAGTGTTCATTCCTTCACCACTGAACCCGGATCCTGGGTGCCAGCCCTGAGCCAGGTGGTGGGGACACAGCGGGGAGCGCTGCCCCCTGAGCTCCCATCCAGACAGGGGTGAGGACTCCTGGCCTGCGCTCCCCTCCACCCTGTGATTTAGTCCCTTCGCTGCATTAGCGCCTGCCTCTCTGAGTTTCCTCAGCTTCCACCCTTAGGGGGAAAAACGTGCACGCTGGGCCCAGGCTCCCAGCCTCCGGGCATTCAGGCTGGTCAGAGATGAAGGACCTTCCCCATTTACCAAAAAAATCACAATAGTGAGTTTGGACTTTAAAAAAAAGCAAGAAAACAACTTTTCAAAAATGTTCCAAAAGGAAAAAAAGATGGCTTTTCAGACTTCTTTTTTTTTCTCTGAGAAACATTGCAGAGTTGTTTTCCTTGCTTTGAGTTTAGGGTGGGGTCAAGGGAGATGGGGAGTCTGCTACCAGGAAGATAAAAGGTGTTTTTCCCCAGATCCAAAAATACTGTTCCCTTCAGCCACCTCTGTGGAGAGAACATAAGATCTGTGTGGCGTGTTTTGTGAAGATCCTCACAGTGAAATACTCGAGGGAAAGACCCTTGAACTTGTCCCCCGTGACCTGTCCAGGGAATGACATTGCTCACTGGAAAAATGTTTCCCCGGGGAGACCAGTGTCCACTTCCTTTGGCTGTGTCCACCCTGGGGATTCCAGAATGTTCTGATCCCAGGTTCCTGTGGGGGCTGTTTTCCACTACAGGGAATGTAGGAAGCAGAAGCCAGAACAGAAACAGGTGGGCAGGGTCAGGGGGAGAAGGGACAGGCCTGTGCCCATTTAGACAGACTTCACAGTTAAAATTCAGCTCAACCCATGCCGACCGAGACACTGTCCACGTGCCAGGCATTGAATCTGGGGTACCAAGCACCCACGCCCCAACGGGAAGAGCATTTTCACAACCAGGTTAGAATCAGCACTCACAACTCTGAGAAACGTTTCCCAGCTTCCAACTGCAGTGGGTGCTTTAGACGCGCAGACCTCGACAAGCCTCAGCTGCAGGGGTCTTCACAGCTGCCCAGGCCCCGCAGTTTACAGGTGATTAGATCAGTGGGCCACAGGGGAAAGGGACCTGCCCAACCCCACAGCCAGTCCGGAGCAGGACCTAAGCCTGGAACTCAGGTTTCCTGTTCCCGGTTTATACCACCGAGAGCTGTTCCAGTGCTTAGGGAGAGAGAAAAGGACCTCGGTTTGCTGGCCCTATGTCCTTGAACTTGCCACATCTTTGACCCTCAGTGTCCTCATGCTTAAGATGGGATAATAGTAGTACCTGCCCCACAGAGCTATTCTGAGGTTTGTGTGAGATCATCCACACCCAGTGCTGAGTACAGTGCCTGGCACATAGTAAGGGCTCAATAAATTATAGCACTTATTAGTGTCCTTATCATTATGAGCTGGACTTTTCATGCCTCCATCAACAGGTAGGTAGTGAGGGTGTACCTGTGTAGCAGGACACAGGGCCCAACCCTGACGTTAGAGGCCCATAGTCTGGTTGGGGAGACACCAGTAAACAGGACATGACATGCTGTGGGGTAAGCTCTCCAGTGGGATGACCGAAGCGAGGATAGCAGGAGGACATGGGATAGGAGGCTTCTTGGAGCTCACTCAGAGAGGGCTTCCCAGAGGAAGGCTAGGTAGGTGTTTCCTGAAGGTGAGAACCAGGTGAAGAATGAGCTGAGGGAATGACGAGCACAAGGACTCGGATAGGAGAGAGAACCTGATGAGTCCAGAGCTTGGAAAAAGGGGAAACGAGACAGTGATTTTGATGGAGGTTCGGTGGGTGAAGAGGGCTGGACAGAAGTGGAGGAGTAGAGAGAGGACCTACCAAGGCCTCACTCCCCTTCAAGACCTTCTACAGCTGCTCATGCCTGGGGAGCCACCTGGATGTTGGGCCTACTGGTATGTGACTTTGGGCAAGTCCCTGTACACTTCCGGGCCTTGGTTTCACAGCTTCAGAAATAGCAGGATGGGTAAATCTGATCTCGCAGGCCCCTCCAAAAATACGTGCTTTGTCTCCTTTGAGAAACAGCCCACTCCCTGTGGAATGAGTTTCACTCCAGGCTTATGATCCATCAGAGCCCAGAGAAAAGGCCTTTCCTCTTCCTTCTTCTTCCTGAACCTGGGGTCAGCTCAACCCGTGTCATTTTTTTAAATTTTTGGTCATAATCGAACCCGAACTTCACTGCTTCTGGCTTTGTGGAAAGCCTTGACCTTGGGCCAAAGTTCAGGAAGCCAGCCCTGACCTTGGGAAAAGAGGGGGTGGAGACCAGTTCCCCAAAGAAAAGAGCAGAAAAGGTCAGCGAAGGCTCCGGGCCCTCAGTCACGTTTCTGTAGTCCAGTGAATGTAGGCTGAACTGAACTGAATGCAGGGAGTTGGTCTTTAGACCGAACTGCAGGGAACTGGATGTCTCCAGGGGGTGGTTCCCAGCTGGAGGCGCTGGGCTGGGTGTTTTCATGGAGAACATCGCCATCTAGTGGTCAGTTCTGTTCTGAGCGCTGAGCCCGCTCTCCTTCCTGCTGCTATGGCATGGGTGTCCCTCAGGTGTGATTTCTCCTGCAGGTGATGGACAGCTCAATGCCTCTGATTGGAGAGCATGTGGAAGAGGACAAGCAGCTGATGGCCGACCTTGTTGTCTCCAAAATGAGCCAATTCCTGATGCCGGCTGGCACAGTGCCCTCACCCCTGAGGCCTTGGGTAAGATCCACAGAAACAAAGGAGACTTTGTTGCCATCAGAAATGCCAGTCTGTCTGAGAATGGGAGGCCTCTGGATCCAAAGGAGATACCCCCAGGAAGGAACCAGCATAGGGAGGAAGGAATGGGTTGTGGACAGAGGCTGCACATGGGGCACAGCTTCTACACCCTGCTCCTGACGGGGGAGTTGGGGAGCTCCAAGGGGCCCTTCGTCCCTCCATCCTGGGGAGAAAAACATCGCCTCAAATGGGCTTGGGGGTCTGTGGGCAGAGATTATTGTGAGAAGTCAGTTGCCCCTTCTGTGCCCTCCATCCTGGGCCTTAGCAGGGGGCAGGGTGTGTGTGTGTGTGTGTGTGTGTGTGTGGAGCAGGGGGCAGGGTGTGTGTGTGTGCTCGCGCGTGTGCATGTGGGTGTACACACATGCCCTTTGTGTGATCTCAGCGCACTCAATAGACTATTGTGTCTTCCGTTCCCCCATCCCCCAACCTGACAAGCTCCCACATAGCTCCTCCCCTCCACAGTCCTCACCATGGATTACCAGGTCATCCTCCAAAGAATTTGTTAGTTTCCCAGCTTTCTGGAAAAACGAGTGTCGAAACCAGCTCCCCCCTTTGCCCACAAAATCTTGAATCTGTGATAACAGGCATCGGAATCATGGTTATACTTGAAGGGGTTGCTGGCTGGGAGGGGCTCAGAGCAACCTTCTCCACAGGAAACATTCTGTCCTGACCTGGGTGGTGGTCACATGGGTGTCCACACATGTAAAAATTCACTGTGCTGCACACTTGAAAATTGCACACTTTATGTAAGTTTGACCTCAGTGATGAAAAGATCTTTGTAAACTCTGCCCTTCCACCCAGGAAGTAAATGGCTATGGTGATCACAACAGGCTTCTTTTCTCTTCTCCTGCTCTAGGCTCCACAGACTAAACCAGCAAAATCCCCTGGGACAGCCCAGCTGGGGCCTCCGCTGGGACAGCCCCAGCCACGCCCACCCACGCAAGGTAGGACCCCCGACAAGCCACCCAGAGAAAGCGTCCAGCAAGAGTGTGGAAAGGCACTGAGGGGTCTGTGCATGATGGCCAGGAGACAGGCTGGAAAAACCATCTAATCCTCTAGCCCAGACTCTGTGCCCTTACTCTGTATGCGGAATGAATGAGACTGTGAGGTTTGCCACCCCACAGAGTCAGGAGAGAAGGATGGAAAGACAAGGTAAGTTTATTAAGTGCCTAGTATGTGCCAGGCACTGTGCTAGGGACTCCCCCATCTATTTTCTCATTGTTGGCCTCCCAGTCACTCCAAGGGGAAAACATCAGTGTTTTCTATTTGCAGAGGTAGATGTTGAGGCCTTGTCCAAGGACAGATCACAAGAAAGTGGCAGGTTGACAAGTCTGCGGTTTCAGATCTTCTAGAAAGTGTCTTGTTTCCCAGCCACCAGTGGTGCCTGACCATAGATACATGAGCCAACCAGCCAGCGTGAGAAAGAAAGAAAAAGGGAACATTATATATAACCTTGTCGGTTGAAATTGTTCTCAGAAAATAGTGCAGCATTACTGTTTAAATGACACCACGTATTAAGGAATGGAAAAACTACTGATGGCACGATGAAAAGAAATCATAGCAGTAACTTCCTCCCAGAATGCCAGCTGCTGGGTGTCCTCACCCACAGGCCCGGGAGGAAATCTGCCCCAGGTCCCTCTTGGCACACTTGCTGCACTGGTGCCAGCTTGGGGCTCCAGAGCAGTGCTGCATCAAGAAGCCAGGTCAGGCAGTTTTACCACCATCTTTGAAGGCCCTGCTGTAAAACCTATTGGAAAGAAAGCATTACCTCCCTGGCCAGGGTCCCAGTTGATTGGAGCATCGGCCCCCACACGAAAAGGTTGTGGGTTTGATTCTCAGTCAGGACACATACCTAGGTTTCAGGTTCAATCCCTGGTCAGGGCACATAGGAGAGGCCACCAGTCGATGTGTCTCTCTCACATCAGTGTTTCTCTTTCTATCTCTTTCCCTTAAAAAAAAAAAAAGAATCCTTCTTTAGGCAAGTTACATCCCCCCTCTGAGCCTCAGTTTCCCCAATGATAAAGGAGGGTATTACAGCTGCCCTGTTTAGTGATGGGGAGTTGTCCATGAGATGATGCAGGTGAAGCAGTTAGCAAGGCCTCCGGGTTCAGCACAGAGGTGGTGCTTGGTAGGTGTTAGCACCTAATAGCTGACTACTAATAACAATTTATGTAACTTTTACTTCTAAAAGCTTACTATTAATAACTTGTGTCTTACAAACAATTGTAATATACATGTTGTTCTTAAAGATTATTATCATTAACAATCCTTATAATTAAAGCAGCCCAGCCTGGCGATAGGTTCTAAGTTATAAATGTTCAGAAACGTCATCTTCGTCACCCTGCCAGGCTCCTGGCTGTGCCTGCCCTACCCTCTCCGTTTCCCACCCGGCCTCGGGGCTGACGTTTTACAACACATTTGAACAGAGCACTTTTAAAACAGTGAGCCACTGTACTCTGGTTTCCTCCTGGGCCCAGAGTAGAGACATGCTCAATAAAGAGAGATTATTTTAAGGGACATGAGGCTAAACACACTTTTAGTGAATTGAAAAACTGTCCATTTAAAACCAATTAAGATAATTAAAGAAAATGCTCATTGAATTAGCATTCAGATTAAAAATAACAAGGCTAATTTAAAAACAATGCTTCCATTGAGTTCCCGAAATAAAAAGATCACATTAACTTGTTTTTGAACTCACCGTGTGTTTTCAACGCGGTAAAAGTGAAGTTTTCTTCTAATAAGCCTTATCATTTTTTAGCACCAATCCTGTGCTTAGGCAAATATTTTATATATGTAAGATAATATTTTTTGTGTGGGTGTAAATAAAAATAGTGAATTGTTTGCTTTGCCAAGAAGCTGAAAGAAATAACTATAGTGTCTCTTGATGTATCCCAGGAGTATAATAGAGACTCAACAAATACTTAATAAATGAATCAGCAAGCATCCAGATTTCCCAAGATATTATCAGCGGGGGTGGAGGGCAGGAGACTGAAGATAAAAGTAGAAAACAGATGTTTTCTTTGAGCTGCAGTAGGTCTAACACAAAAAAACAGCATTTTACAATCAGGAGCTTTTACATCAACGTGTAGATTTGCAGCTTCTTGATTTGCAGGAGCCCTAGGAGCAATGGGGCTGGATTCCTCAGAGCAGCCGCCCTGACCGTTAGTCGCAGCTACTCCCTGGGCAGGGCAGGGGCTCACCGTGAGCCTCAAGTCCTCCTTCTCCCTGTTGTCACTGCACCTCTTTAGAGAACTGGGTCTCTGAACGATGTTTCTACCTAAAGTGGAAAAAAATTTAAAGCCACATGATTTTTTCTGACGCTCGCCAGCTTTGTTTATGTACCTGCCCGGCCCTGAAGGTGTTTGAGTTTTGAGATCAATGGGTCTTCCAATCTGCTAGGACATATAGTGGTGAAAGAGGTCAAGACTGAATCAAAGCCACGTGGACCCGTTGCTAGATTGTTGCTGCCATTCCATTCAACTTAGAAAGTGTTGTGCAGACTCACAAAAGAGTTCCAGTTGGGAGGGATGTTTGGTGGCTAGTCCAATGACCTCATTTTATAAAGGAGGGCTCCAACGCCCAGAGAGATGTGACTGACACAGTTACATAGCAAGTTAATGGCAAGGCTTGACTCAGGACCTGGGCCCCTGAGGCCAGTATGATGTCAGGGCCACCAGACATGCAGGCCTTGCCCTCTGCAAAGGTGACCAGCTGAGGTGACATCTGAGGGGGAGGTCGGCTGAAATCTAGTCCTTGCTCCCCATGAACCTGGCTCAGAGCTGCCTCCACTGGAGGAAGCCACCTTTTCTCAATTCGCGCAAAGATATGAGGACTCAAGGCAGCCTGTGTGGTATAAGTAAAAATAACAATTAAAAAAAAGAAAGGAAGGGAGGGAAGGAGGATGCAAAACAGGATTTTTTTTTTTTTCAAAACAGGACTTTTGAGTCAAAAAGACTCAAAAGTTTGAATCTTGGCTCTTCCCTTGACTGTGATACTTTGAGCAAGTCAGAGTTTATCTGGGACTCAGTTTCTTTGTAAAAATGGGGGTGTTAATAATACCTAACTTGCCCTGACTGGTGTGGCTGAGTGGGTTGAACATCATCCCATGCACTGAAAGGTCCCCAGGTCGATTCCCAGTCAGGGCACCGGAATTTGCAGTGTGTAGCAACAAAAAATAATAATGCCTACCCCTCAGAGCTGTTGTGAGGATGCCCACAGCCAGAGACACAATTGGTCAGTAGAGTAGAAGCCATGTTTTGAAAGGGCCACAGAGATGGGCTGCAGGCCCTTTTAACTCTCCGTCTCCTGCCCTCACAAAGCGTGGTGAGCATCACAAGGGGCAGCCCCTCTCCCAGAGCAGGTGGAGCCAGGGAGAGGAGCCACAGGCAGCCAGCACACAGACGCCCCGGACTGGAGGTGAGGAGAGTGCACCTGGCTGGCGTGGGGCCTTCAAATGCCAAAGGCAACTCTGGGCACCTGAGATGTCCCCCAGCTTGTAGGTGACTATATGCTCTGTACAGTGACAGGGAGAAGTCAGGATTCCCTGTGAGCTCTGTGGCTACTACTCCTAGTTATGACACCTAATGAGCCTCGGTTTCACCTGGATGGGGTGAAAGAATGGTCCCTTTCCCGCTCCCAGGATGGTATCTACAGGCATTCACAATGGTCCAGTGTCTACATACTGTCGGAGGCTGTGCTGCAATACAGCCTCTGACAAAATTAGGCGCCCATGCCCCTGGTACCAGTAACAGAATTGTTCACCTTCATACCAAAAAGGTTGGGAAATACCAGAGTCTGCATGTGGCCTGTACCCAGACAACTCTGGGAAGTCGTGCTGTAAGATGTAACGTTGTAGTGAATTTGTCTAACACGAAAAACATGTCAGCCGGGCCTACTGTGGACCCAGGTGCTAAATGTGTCCCCAACAGGGGACAGGGGCAGGCGTGCTTTCTTAGTGAGGAGCAGAAAATCATTAAAGTGTTAAAGGCACAAGCACAGACTCAACTAAATTTTAACAATGAAACTCTTTTTGAGTAATAAGAATGAAAAGGCTTGTTCTATTAAAAATAATAATAATAATAATAATAATAATAATAGGGCAGGCGTTTCTTAGTGAGGAGCAGAAAATCATTAAAGTGTTAAAGGCACAAGCACAGACTCAACTAAATTTTAACAATGAAACTCTTCTTGAGTAATAAGAATGAAAAGGCTTGTTCTATTAAAAATAATAATAATAATAATAATAATAATAATAATGGCATCTTCCCTACCAGCCTCCCTAGAGCAAACGCTACATTGCTTTTGAAAGTCCTTGGAAAAGTGGAGAGAGCTGTTCAAAAGAAAGGGATCATTATTTCATTTCCAAAGTGACCCACCTTCAGTGTGGAAAATATCAGTGAGCAAAGGAAGAGAATTAAACCCCTCACAACCCCAGCACTTTTGTAATCACAGACCCTGCCTGTTCAATCGGCTCGGCTGCCATAACAGAATACCCGAGACTGAGTGGCTTCAACAGCAGACGCGTATTTTCTCAGGCTGAAGTCCAAGGCCAAGGTGCCCACAGGGTTGAAACGTCTCTCCATGGCTTGCAGACAGCTGCCTCTCACTGTCTTTACATGGCCTTTCCTGTGTGTGTCTGCCCCTGGTGTCTCTTCTTATAAGGACGCCGGTCCTGTTGGGTTAGGGCCCCACCCTTATGGCCTCATTTAACAATAATGACTTCCTTTGAAGTCCCTATCTCCAAAAACAGTCACATTGAGTATAGGACTTCAAAATATGAGTTTGGAGGGGACACAGTTCAGTCTGACCTACTGTATCAGAATCTTCATTTTGACAGGATCCCTCCAGGAATTCATGTACACATTAAGGCTTGAGACGCCCTAGTTTTAGTGTTTAACCTTCCCATCTTTCTTTTTTACATAGCTTTATATATATACCAAAATGCAATAAATCTGTATGTACTGTTTCATCAGCTGCTTGTTCAGCTTAGCAGTATTTATTTGGCATGTATCAACAGTATCCCATTTAATGTCATATTATTATGTAACATCATACATTATGACCAGAGAATATTCCATTATATGGATGTATCTTAATGTTCCTAATCAATTAGGCATTTATGTTGTTTTCCACTTTTTACTGTTATTTAAAAAAAAAACTGTAATGACCATCTTTGAAACAGCATTTGTGCACAGCCATGTTATCCTAAGAAAAATTTGAATGTAATAACTTTTGTACCCTATAGGGGGCCCTCGCCAAGCTCAGTCTCCTCAGCCCTCGAGATCTGGAAGCCCCTCCCAGCAGAGGCTCTCCCCACAAGGCCAGCAGCCCCTGAGCCCCCAGTCTGGATCCCCACAGCAGCAGAGATCACCAGGTTCTCCACAGCTGCCCCGGGCATCCAGCGGCGGCTCTCCAAACCAGGCCTCCAAGGCAGGTGCCACCCTCCCCTCACAGCCCCGGCCCCCTGTGCAAGGCCGCAGCACCTCCCAACAGGGCGAAGAGTCCAAGAAGCCAGCACCACCCCACCCCCATCTCAAGTAAGTACCTCTGGATCTGATCGAGAAGGGTATAGGGTGGGGATGGGTGTGGGAGGGACTCAGACAAAGGAAGACCCACTGAGGCCTCACCCAGACTTGAAATGGGAATGAGGAGGCCTAGAGGATGGAACATGGAGGGCATAGAGGGCCCTGCAAGGTGAGAGTATAGATTAGGCCCTACCATGACCCTTCAGATATATACATGTATCCGTTATCTCATGCTGCATAACAAGCCACCCCAAAACTTAGAGGCTTAAGGTAAAACCATTTTCTTGGTTCATAATTCCTCAGTTCAGCAGTTTGTTCGGAGTTTGGCTCAGCTGGGAGGTTCTTCTGCAGGTGCCTCCTGGAGAGTTGCCAGATAAAATACAGGATGCCCAGTTAGATTTGAATTTCAGATAAACCACGAGTAATCTTGAGTATAAGTATGCCCTCACATATTGCATGGGATGTATCTATACTAAAAAAGTATTTGTTTTTCATCTGAAATTCAGATTTAAGCCTGTATTTTTGCCTACTAAATCTAGTAACCCTACCCCCTGGGATCACTCATAATGCCGTAGGCATCTGACAGCGTCTCGGGGGCTGGACAGTCACCAGGGCCTCATGCACACATCCGGCACGTGCTGGTTGGGCTGGCTGCCAGCTGGGCCTCACTTTCCCCACCGGCCGCCTCCAGCGGTCAGACCGAGCTTCCTCACATGGTAGAATTACATTCCAAAAGGGCACAAGCAGCTCAAGGCCTCTTGAGGAGCAGTCTTAGAAGCTTCACAGTGTCATTTCATTCCATCCCATGCTGTTGGTCAAGGCCAGTCGCATGGCCACGCCCAGACTCAAGAGGCAGCAAAACAGGCTCTTGATGGGAGGACCTGCAAGTCATAGGGCAGAAGGGTGGGTCGCAGGACGGAGGAATCTGTGCCGTTGTTTCTCCGTCCCAGTACACTGTACATTCCCTCTCCTCTCAAGCCCATCTCTTGGCTTGAGGTCAGAAAGAGGGACTCCAAATGTGGGTGTCTTTTGGAAAGTGGCTCCCTTCAACTCCAAACACTAACATCGATGATCAGTTTTACACTAGTATCTACTACCTCCTTAGTATGTGCCAAGCACTTTAGCTGGTTGGGTGTTTTTTTTAATTCTCACAAGCTCCAACCGGAAGCACCAGGAACATTCCAAAGGGAGCTGGAATCAGCAGGAAGGGCTTCAGGGATAAGATGGGAATGGAATCCCAGACACAGGCCTCCCAATTCTCAAAGCGCTGGTTAGTATAGGGGAGCAACCACAGCCTGGAGTGGCGACAGCACTTCACAGTTTGCCAGATGGGTTTGCACACACGGGTGGAGAGCAGTGACTGTCTGGTGACGCCTGCTGTCTGAGCAGCCTGGGCTGGTGGACAGACTGTGAGCCTCGGGTGCTCCCGTCACTGGCTGTGAGCCCCAACTTCTATACCTAAAGACAGGCTACCACTAACCACCTTGCAGGCTAAGTCATGTGGGTGACATATCCAGGATCACACAAGCCTTGGGATGACTTGTGACAATGGGGCTCACCCACCTGGCTTCCAGGCAAGCCCCCCCCACCATGATTTTTTCTGACGCTCGCCAGCTTTGTTTATGTACCTGCCCGGCCCTGAAGGTGTTTGAGTTTTGAGATCAATGGGTCTTCCAATCTGCTAGGACATATAGTGGTGAAAGAGGTCAAGACTGAATCAAAGCCACGTGGACCCGTTGCTAGATTGTTGCTGCCATTCCATTCAACTTAGAAAGTGTTGTGCAGACTCACAAAAGAGTTCCAGTTGGGAGGGATGTTTGGTGGCTAGTCCAATGACCTCATTTTATAAAGGAGGGCTCCAACGCCCAGAGAGATGTGACTGACACAGTTACATAGCAAGTTAATGGCAAGGCTTGACTCAGGACCTGGGCCCCTGAGGCCAGTATGATGTCAGGGCCACCAGACATGCAGGCCTTGCCCTCTGCAAAGGTGACCAGCTGAGGTGACATCTGAGGGGGAGGTCGGCTGAAATCTAGTCCTTGCTCCCCATGAACCTGGCTCAGAGCTGCCTCCACTGGAGGAAGCCACCTTTTCTCAATTCGCGCAAAGATATGAGGACTCAAGGCAGCCTGTGTGGTATAAGTAAAAATAACAATTAAAAAAAAGAAAGGAAGGGAGGGAAGGAGGATGCAAAACAGGATTTTTTTTTTTTCAAAACAGGACTTTTGAGTCAAAAAGACTCAAAAGTTTGAATCTTGGCTCTTCCCTTGACTGTGATACTTTGAGCAAGTCAGAGTTTATCTGGGACTCAGTTTCTTTGTAAAAATGGGGGTGTTAATAATACCTAACTTGCCCTGACTGGTGTGGCTGAGTGGGTTGAACATCATCCCATGCACTGAAAGGTCCCCAGGTCGATTCCCAGTCAGGGCACCAGAATTTGCAGTGTGTAGCAACAAAAAATAATAATGCCTACCCCTCAGAGCTGTTGTGAGGATGCCCACAGCCAGAGACACAATTGGTCAGTAGAGTAGAAGCCATGTTTTGAAAGGGCCACAGAGATGGGCTGCAGGCCCTTTTAACTCTCCGTCTCCTGCCCTCACAAAGCGTGGTGAGCATCACAAGGGGCAGCCCCTCTCCCAGAGCAGGTGGAGCCAGGGAGAGGAGCCACAGGCAGCCAGCACACAGACGCCCCGGACTGGAGGTGAGGAGAGTGCACCTGGCTGACGTGGGGCCTTCAAATGCCAAAGGCAACTCTGGGCGCCTGAGATGTCCCCCAGCTTGTAGGTGACTATATGCTCTGTACAGTGACAGGGAGAAGTCAGGATTCCCTGTGAGCTCTGTGGCTACTACTCCTAGTTATGACACCTAATGAGCCTCGGTTTCACCTGGATGGGGTGAAAGAATGGTCCCTTTCCCGCTCCCAGGATGGTATCTACAGGCATTCACAATGGTCCAGTGTCTACATACTGTCGGAGGCTGTGCTGCAATACAGCCTCTGACAAAATTAGGCGCCCATGCCCCTGGTACCAGTAACAGAATTGTTCACCTTCATACCAAAAAGGTTGGGAAATACCAGAGTCTGCATGTGGCCTGTACCCAGACAACTCTGGGAAGTCGTGCTGTAAGATGTAACGTTGTAGTGAATTTGTCTAACACGAAAAACATGTCAGCCGGGCCTACTGTGGACCCAGGTGCTAAATGTGTCCCCAACAGGGGACAGGGGCAGGCGTGCTTTCTTAGTGAGGAGCAGAAAATCATCAAAGTGTTAAAGGCACAAGCACAGACTCAACTAAATTTTAACAATGAAACTCTTTTTGAGTAATAAGAATGAAAAGGCTTGTTCTATTAAAAATAATAATAATAATAATAATAATAATAATAATGGCATCTTCCCTACCAGCCTCCCTAGAGCAAACGCTACATTGCTTTTGAAAGTCCTTGGAAAAGTGGAGAGAGCTGTTCAAAAGAAAGGGATCATTATTTCATTTCCAAAGTGACCCACCTTCAGTGTGGAAAATATCAGTGAGCAAAGGAAGAGAATTAAACCCCTCACAACCCCAGCACTTTTGTAATCACAGACCCTGCCTGTTCAATCGGCTCGGCTGCCATAACAGAATACCCGAGACTGAGTGGCTTCAACAGCAGACGCGTATTTTCTCAGGCTGAAGTCCAAGGCCAAGGTGCCCACAGGGTTGAAACGTCTCTCCATGGCTTGCAGACAGCTGCCTCTCACTGTCTTTACATGGCCTTTCCTGTGTGTGTCTGCCCCTGGTGTCTCTTCTTATAAGGACGCCGGTCCTGTTGGGTTAGGGCCCCACCCTTATGGCCTCATTTAACAATAATGACTTCCTTTGAAGTCCCTATCTCCAAAAACAGTCACATTGAGTATAGGACTTCAAAATATGAGTTTGGAGGGGACACAGTTCAGTCTGACCTACTGTATCAGAATCTTCATTTTGACAGGATCCCTCCAGGAATTCATGTACACATTAAGGCTTGAGACGCCCTAGTTTTAGTGTTTAACCTTCCCATCTTTCTTTTTTACATAGCTTTATATATATACCAAAATGCAATAAATCTGTATGTACTGTTTCATCAGCTGCTTGTTCAGCTTAGCAGTATTTATTTGGCATGTATCAACAGTATCCCATTTAATGTCATATTATTATGTAACATCATACATTATGACCAGAGAATATTCCATTATATGGATGTATCTTAATGTTCCTAATCAATTAGGCATTTATGTTGTTTTCCACTTTTTACTGTTATTTAAAAAAAAAAAACTGTAATGACCATCTTTGAAACAGCATTTGTGCACAGCCATGTTATCCTAAGAAAAATTTGAATGTAATAACTTTTGTACCCTATAGGGGGCCCTCGCCAAGCTCAGTCTCCTCAGCCCTCGAGATCTGGAAGCCCCTCCCAGCAGAGGCTCTCCCCACAAGGCCAGCAGCCCCTGAGCCCCCAGTCTGGATCCCCACAGCAGCAGAGATCACCAGGTTCTCCACAGCTGCCCCGGGCATCCAGCGGCGGCTCTCCAAACCAGGCCTCCAAGGCAGGTGCCACCCTCCCCTCACAGCCCCGGCCCCCTGTGCAAGGCCGCAGCACCTCCCAACAGGGCGAAGAGTCCAAGAAGCCAGCACCACCCCACCCCCATCTCAAGTAAGTACCTCTGGATCTGATCGAGAAGGGTATAGGGTGGGGATGGGTGTGGGAGGGACTCAGACAAAGGAAGACCCACTGAGGCCTCACCCAGACTTGAAATGGGAATGAGGAGGCCTAGAGGATGGAACATGGAGGGCATAGAGGGCCCTGCAAGGTGAGAGTATAGATTAGGCCCTACCATGACCCTTCAGATATATACATGTATCCGTTATCTCATGCTGCATAACAAGCCACCCCAAAACTTAGAGGCTTAAGGTAAAACCATTTTCTTGGTTCATAATTCCTCAGTTCAGCAGTTTGTTCGGAGTTTGGCTCAGCTGGGAGGTTCTTCTGCAGGTGCCTCCTGGAGAGTTGCCAGATAAAATACAGGATGCCCAGTTAGATTTGAATTTCAGATAAACCACGAGTAATCTTGAGTATAAGTATGCCCTCACATATTGCATGGGATGTATCTATACTAAAAAAGTATTTGTTTTTCATCTGAAATTCAGATTTAAGCCTGTATTTTTGCCTACTAAATCTAGTAACCCTACCCCCTGGGATCACTCATAATGCCGTAGGCATCTGACAGCGTCTCGGGGGCTGGACAGTCACCAGGGCCTCATGCACACATCCGGCACGTGCTGGTTGGGCTGGCTGCCAGCTGGGCCTCACTTTCCCCACCGGCCGCCTCCAGCGGTCAGACCGAGCTTCCTCACATGGTAGAATTACATTCCAAAAGGGCACAAGCAGCTCAAGGCCTCTTGAGGAGCAGTCTTAGAAGCTTCACAGTGTCATTTCATTCCATCCCATGCTGTTGGTCAAGGCCAGTCGCATGGCCACGCCCAGACTCAAGAGGCAGCAAAACAGGCTCTTGATGGGAGGACCTGCAAGTCATAGGGCAGAAGGGTGGGTCGCAGGACGGAGGAATCTGTGCCGTTGTTTCTCCGTCCCAGTACACTGTACATTCCCTCTCCTCTCAAGCCCATCTCTTGGCTTGAGGTCAGAAAGAGGGACTCCAAATGTGGGTGTCTTTTGGAAAGTGGCTCCCTTCAACTCCAAACACTAACATCGATGATCAGTTTTACACTAGTATCTACTACCTCCTTAGTATGTGCCAAGCACTTTAGCTGGTTGGGTGTTTTTTTTAATTCTCACAAGCTCCAACCGGAAGCACCAGGAACATTCCAAAGGGAGCTGGAATCAGCAGGAAGGGCTTCAGGGATAAGATGGGAATGGAATCCCAGACACAGGCCTCCCAATTCTCAAAGCGCTGGTTAGTATAGGGGAGCAACCACAGCCTGGAGTGGCGACAGCACTTCACAGTTTGCCAGATGGGTTTGCACACACGGGTGGAGAGCAGTGACTGTCTGGTGACGCCTGCTGTCTGAGCAGCCTGGGCTGGTGGACAGACTGTGAGCCTCGGGTGCTCCCGTCACTGGCTGTGAGCCCCAACTTCTATACCTAAAGACAGGCTACCACTAACCACCTTGCAGGCTAAGTCATGTGGGTGACATATCCAGGATCACACAAGCCTTGGGATGACTTGTGACAATGGGGCTCACCCACCTGGCTTCCAGGCAAGCCCCCCCCCCCCACAACACATTTCCTCAGGAGCCCAGGCCTGGTCGTCCCCAAACTCCCTGCCTTTGTTTCAGCAAATCCCAGTCCCTGACTAACAGCCTCAGCACATCGGACACTTCCCAGCGTGGAACCCCAAGCGAAGACGAGGCCAAGGCCGAAACCATCCGCAACCTGAGGAAGTCTTTTGCCAGCCTGTTCTCTGACTAACGGGGTCCAGCCTGGGAGAGGGTGCTGTTACACTCTCCCCTCTCCCACCTCATCTTCCTTCTCAGCCTTGATTTCTGATGGGAACAGAATGGAGGGCCTGAGACTACACTTTCTAATGCCTCTGACCCAGGAACTGAGTATCTATACGTGTCCCCTTCCCTTCTCCACGACAGTCAAGCTTTGTCTGGCTGAGACTGGGCCTTTGAGAGCCTCCAGGTTCCTCAAAATGGGCCTCAATGGTGGACATCCATCACCCTCCCCCCTCCCCCCCAGATGCTTGCTTCCCGGCCACAGATAACCCCGTGAGATTTCTGTGTGTGGCTAGTTTTCATATCTGTTACTGTTTTGCTTGCCTTTGGGCAAAGGCCCCTCTAGGCCTGCCCACCTCCATCAAATGCAGACACTGTAGTCGGACCTCAGCAGTATCGGAGGCAATAATCTACTGACAGTGTTTTGCAAACAAAAGGAGAAAAGCCGGGCCAGGGGAGCCTCTCATCTTCCATGCTAGTTTCATCGGAGACCTCACCCGACTTGCAGGCAAGGGCCCATCACGACTGGCCACTGGTGGGATCTTGATGACAAGGGAAAGCCAGGTCCTGTGAGACACGTGGGGCCTTTCAAGTCACAAAAGAGACCGAGGGGAAACAGTGGGGATGCTGCTCCCACCAGAATGAACAGCCAAGAGCAGAGCACAGGTTCTTTCAGGAATGGTTTCTAGTTCCCAGATGAGGACGCCGCCCTCACTTCCCGAAGAAGGAGTTAGGTTAGGGCTTCTCCACCCACTATTATACCACCAGGAATTCTCTGTGAATTCCCACCAGGAATGTTGTTTACTCCTCAAGGATTTATGAGGAACCAGAGAGCATCAGATTAATGTCACAGGCTCAGAAAGTTGGGAGGATAATAACCTCCAGTCAGCATTTCACAAACTGCACAGCCAGATGCTGGCAGGTTTCTCCATTACAAAAGGGTCCCATGGCCAACCATGTTGGGGAAACACTGTCTATATTTCTTTTTGAGGTTGGCCATACACATTACACGTCAACAACTCTTGAAATTCCTATGTAAAGACATTAGACTTCGCTGTTTAACCCAAACCTATATGAACAAGTTGACTGCAGAACTGGAGAACACAGCCCTGATGCCCTTCCCAGGGCTCCTTCCCGTACAGCACACGACCTCCCGTGATCACGGGGCAGGGCTGTCCCACATCACCAAGCACCTGGTGCTAGAAACACTCCTGGTCCAGAACAGAACCATGTGATCCCTTTCCAGTCCCCTTTGTGATTTGAAACATGCCCTCCCCTCACTATTCACAGGGAAGGGACAGAGGAGGTAAAAATGAAAGTGTCCGTGGCCTAGACCCGCATTCTGAATGAAAGATAGAAAACTTGAGGGCAGGTGTAACACCGCAAAGCCCACCCCCACCATTTTAGGAGCTTAAGAACACAGAAAATACCTGAGGCAATCATCACGCTTATACAGAGACTAACATTGAAAGAAGTCAAACAATCTCACCCACTTCTCAGTAATAAAATACAGCTTGAAACACACAGCAAAGGGACACTAGGCAGTTTCTCAAAGTGTGGGCCATGGCTGTGCACAGCTAGCTTCATCTCAGACCAACCGAGTCAGAATTTCTGGTCATGAGACCCGAACCTCTCTTTGTCATCTCCCTGCATGCATGTGGGAGTTAGACTGGCACCCTGAGCTGAGATGTCTGGGAAAGCTGCTATTGAAAGCAGGATTGTGTGGATTCATTACAGACCCAGGTCTCACTCTCGGTGAGCAAAATTAGTGGCTCCATAAACAATGACTGTGGCTTAATTTTCCCACTTCCCTTTATTCTGTCCCTTGTCCATAAAAACATCTCAACATTCAAACTATATCTCCCAGATAGTCCAAGTAGAGTAGCACACACTCCTTTGGATAGCCATGCGCAGATGCTCCATGACACAACACTAGTTTATAACCAACACCTAAGGTTCCCGCTGGCCTGTGTATGAAAGTCGAGACCAACAATGGTCTTGTGGAGACCAGAGATTCCCCCAAATGGACTGTTTTCTCACTTTTAATAACATTTTTTAAATGGGAAAGGACAAAAAGCAGGGGTAAAGGTAGTCACTGTGGCGATTCTAATAAGTGGTTGGTTGGTTGGTTGGTTGGTTTTGTTTCACTGTTTTGATCCAAAGAAAGGCTTGCATTTCCCCTCCAAGCTGACTTGGTGAGGCTGAAACATGCCAGATGCATGTGTATTGTGATAAAGTGTAGCACAAGGAGCAGGGATTTAAACACAGCCCCAACAGACGGCTCCACCAGCCAGACAAAATACCTTCTTCCAGATTGTCCTCGCAGTGTGCGAAAACAGTCCTGTTGTTTAATTAAATGTCGCTTTCCAGGGACATAGACTATACATCGTTTCTCCTCCATTAATTGCCTGTGTTCTCTGTCATACGACATTGGCTGCCAACCTTCAGTTCCTGCTCAGGGGCACTTAGTTCTACCTCTCAAACATTTCAGGGGTGACGAGCCTTCACACACGGTAACAAATACAATAGCAAACCCCAAGAGCCCTAACATCAACCACCTGCTGGCAGTTCTCACTTGAATTTGCTATGAAAGGTTTGCAAGGGGAAAGCAAGTTAGTGTAGGTACCTCGTCGTGAACGACTAGGTGAATAAAACACAGAGCACTGCTTGATACACAGTAGGTGGTCAGGACATGTTCAGGTGGGAATTAATAAAATGTAAACAAATGTTAAGACTGAAGAAAAAGTCTGTTTTATTTCTAAGTGTATCAATATGAGGAAGTCATTTGCCCAGGAACAGAATCAAACCAGCAGAGAGATTAGTAAACTGAGATAAGCTAAAGAAAATCTATAGCCGTTTTTTACCCTCAGGAAGAGGTTGCAGACTCTAAACTGAGTCTGAAAAGGAATGGAAGCAAGCAGGCTCAGGGGCCACAAGACCACCCCCTGGTGAGCACAGCCCAAAGAGGTGAGTTCCTGGGGGAGGGGGTGGGAGAGATGAGGTGCCATTGTCAGCATCAGTCAGAAGAGGCTGGGGCGAGCAGACCAGAGTGCACAGAGAAGACCCAGGACCTGGACTCCCATCCTGACCACACCCTGCGCAGAGGCCCACAGCAGGGCAGAGCTTTCCATAGCAGAGCCCACTGGAGCCCTCCCCCAGGCAGTGCTTCCAGAGCCCTGCCCCTCCCTGCGCTGGAGCAGCGGAGCTCCCAAATCAGGTGGTAGCTCGTTCTGTTTTAGAGTTAGCTCAGCATTACAGATAACGCTAGGATTTCTATTGGAAGAATAGGCCATGGCCTAGGAGCACTTCCACACGTTCCAAATGTTTTATCCTGGAGTGCAGGCTGGCTGGTTACTAACTGTCCTAGCAAGTGTCAAAGCTATCTTTGACTCCTAAGCAGCCACTGATTAAATTCAGGGTTTCACCAATATTTAGGTTCTCGGAGAAGGCGGCACTTGTGGGTTTGGTCAGTGACAAAATGGAAGGTTAGGCAAAAAGCAATCAAATCAATTCATTAATCCAACACAATGCACACAGGGCACAGAAGCTCCCTGTTTCCAGGCAAACACGCAGCCAAGCTGATGACACCTCGACACTAGTCCTGTGCCCAGGGCTCTCAAGCAGCAGGCCAAGAAAGGGACATGGCTGGAAACAGTGAGGCGTTCCTTAAGGGAAAACCAATCTACAACTAAATGCTCCTCCTACAATGTGTTCCTTTAAAATCTTAAATACCCTTCAATTTTATTCTGATCGGTCCTCCCATTTTTAATTTCAATTTCCAAACTCTCATATTTTATGTATCTACTTTTCATGGTCTTCCACTGAGTCTAGAGAAGAAAGTTAACATTGTCTTGCCTCTCAATATTTCGCTATGGAATAGCAGAAATTTAAGTGCCAGGACCTATTGGGGAATCCCAGGAGACACAGATTAAATCTTTATTTCAGGTGACTTACCTAGTACTTCCCAATAATCGTATCCACTCCACATCTAGTCAGCTGGAGACTGTGAAGGAGCATGAACCATGGTTACGGCCCAGCAGAGAAGTGGGACCTGCCGGCGCCTCCTCGAGGCTCTGTGGTTCAGGAGCTACTGCCCAGGGCAGGAGGAAGGCAAACCTTGACACTGGGCCCTGCGTATAGGGAGCAAAGGGAAAAGTGTCCAGCTCCGTCAGAATAAGAATTAGAGATAGATATTAGACTAAGCGGTGATCTCAGGAATTAGAGGCAAGAGTAAGAGGGCAGAACTCAACTGTCTTCCTTAAGGAATTATAAAATCTTAAGCTGGAAAGAGAGGATACATCCCATGATTGATTTCCAGTCATGCCAAACTATATCTTTCATCTGTGAACAAAGAAGGGGGTGGGAGGGGAACAAGCTCCTGTTAAAAATAACTAAAGGGGGTCACAGAAAGTCGTTAAGACTACAAGCCAATGATATAGAACAGCATCGTACTAAAATGTGTAACCGCAGTGCTCTCAACTGTCTTGTTTCCATTACAATATATCAAAGTGATGTCAGAAAATCAGGGACTGGGCTACCGCCAAACCATGATTTCCTTCTCATTACACACCAGCAATATATAAAGCTCAACAGCCCAGGCTAATGAAAAGAACATAGATTTTACAAGCTTCTAACTATAAATTTAGCTATTCAAGAGGAAAAGCTTTGGGAGTTGTTTTAAGAATAAACTATTGTGAGAGGACTGCAAATTTAGGCGTATGGCACACTGCCCATACCTAAACTGAGAGAGGCTCTAACTCGGGCCAGTGAGGCCGAGGTGAGGCTGGAAAGCAGCGCCATCTCTCTGGGACATCAGCACCGGCACAGACCTCTCAAGGACCATTCAAAAACTCTGGATTTGGAAAACTCATTGTTTTATAGTATCTGGTGCTTCACTGTGTCCTCCCACGCCAGCTACACACATACACACCATGTGCAACCTAACATCACAAGGGCAGAGAGGAGAACTAGGGTATATTTGGACCCATCAACGCTCCAAGGTGACTCTTTCAGCCCAGATCCAATTAAAGCCATATGGCGTCCAGTGGACACTTATTTTTAAAAAGCTGTCCTAGAGCTACCATTGCCCAGTACCATGGAAATGTTAACAGCCCCAATCCTTTGCCTACACATTAAGCTATTAACGGTGACATGGCTCTGGATAATTGCATTAGTGACTGAATTTTCTTCACTGTGATGAAAAAACAACACTATTATGTGTAGCAAAACATAAAAATAAAAATATTTTCACATGTATGTAGGACTCAAAATATTCTTGCAGCACATAACATTTCAAACCATTTCCTTATATGCAAAACAGATTTTTAAAATCAGGAAGACAGTGGCAATATTCCAATATACTTTCTGCAGATACTAATAATGTTTAGTTCCTGTGTTGTGATTCAGATTTTGTCACTATAGCATGTTTCACAGTTGTTTGTATGATAAAACATTTCTGTTTGACCTTTTTCTTGTAGGAAAAATAAACCTTGAATTTTGTGTATTTTAACTCTTGAAAAAAAATAAATGTTCTTCAAATAAGAGTCTATCTTTGAAAAACAAGTACCTGACCAGCATTCAAAGCAGTAACACTTTGTTGTTAAAAGAGGTCATCTAGTTAGATTACAAATTAGGCACCAAGTGTCAAAACACAAGGGAAAAAAATCATAATTCCACTCCAGAAGAAGCCCCAAACAAAACAAGAGTCCCTATAACCCAATGGCCACCAGCAGTGCTGCTGCAGGGCCCAGAGGTCTCACCCCACACTCTGAGTCCCTAAACCCAGTGGCCACCAACAATGCTGCTGCAGAGCCCAGAAGTTAACCCCACACTCCAAGTCCCTATAACCCAATGGCCGCCAGCAATGCTGCTGCAGGGCCCAGAAGTTCACCCCACACTCCAAGTCCCTATAACCCAATGGCCGCCCACAGTGCTGCTGCAGAACCCAGAAGTTCACCCCACACTCCGAGTCCCTATAACCCAATGGCCGCCAGCAGTGCTGCTGCAGGGCCCAGAAGTTCACCCCACACTCTGAGGAAGAGCTGCAGGGCCAGGGAGGAGGTGGACTGAGCTGGTGGGTGTCCAAAGTTCAGTTCAACCAAACTAGCTCTGCTTTAGTCGTTTTATAAATCAGCTTCTGCAAATGATTTCATTTGAAAAAAGGGGCCATTAAAATGTTTAAAATCCCCTGCAACAATTTGATGACACTGAATAGGTTCTCTGATCATTTTTAAATGTCCAAGTAATGTTGTAAAGCTGTTCTGAATATTTATTACATATCTTTCTGTAATAAAAGTCAAGACTGCCATGTAATTTATACTTAATTTTTAAAAATCTGGTACAGAACATTATCGGTGAACAACCTTCATTCTAGAGGGAAGTCAGTAGCCAACTATTCCCAAGGCCAACCTTGTCATGAAGTAACCTTTGGGCCTCGCCACCCCTGGAGCTTTAAATACATCTACTGAAAGGCTTGTGTGAGTACATTCCTCACCGCCGCAATCAGAAAACACTAGAGGTCAGCAACCCGACAAGATGACAGCTGTAGTTTTAAGAAACAAAACCAAACAAGCTCCAGAGTGGGGCTGCGAATCAATCACATGAACGGTAGCCGGCTATCAGTTGGCCGACCCCTGTTGGGTCTGAAGGGAAATCTGTCGTTGGGGCCACCTCGCCCTGGCAGGATGGGGTTAGGTCCTGGAAGTGGGCCAATTGGGTCAAAACGTGGTCTGAGTGGAGGGAACTGGCCGGGTGCCGCCCCAGGCCCAGGGATGAGTGAATTGATTGGGTTCCCAACATAGGGAAGTGTTAGTCTTTCATCAAATTCACCACCAATAATTCCTGGAGGAAGGAGCGAGCTGGGAGGGAAAGGCCTGGGGTGGAAGGGATTGGGGTAGAATGGGTTGGGGTGGGGTGACGACGGTGGCAGGAACATCATATGCCGAATTCTCTGCGCTTCTTTTCTTTGTTTGTGCTTCTTCTTGTACAACTGAAGAAAAACAAGAACAGGATCTGGTAAGTGGTTGGGATGTCTCCCCAAAGTTCCAACCTGCTTTCACTGTACAGATCTGTCCTTTCCTTTTCCCACACTATCAAGGCAGACCAAAAACCAGTGCACAGAAACGAACTTTCACCATTTCTTTGTAAGCGAATCAGGTAGTGACTCTGAATACAATACCGATGAGCTCTAGTCTTGAACCACACTGCAACTGAGCAATTGTGCCAACCTGGAGCAACAATACATCCAAAGGAGGGATAACTGAGTCGCATGTACTTTCAAGACTGCAACCCAGAGTGCTCAATCTAACATGCAATCTTAAGTCAGCCTTTTTTAAAAGTAGCAAAGTTAAATATTTGTTGAAAATATCATGCCATAAAATATAAAGGTGTTGGGGGGTGAGGTTATTATTTTTCACTTAAATTGTGTCCCTAATAGATCTCAATTTAAACAAGATAAAACAGATGCCCATTTTGGAGGATGGAACATATTTTGTACATATTTGAATACTTTCATTGAATTTTATTCTTCTCTAGTCCTTCCTCCCAAGTTTTTCTCAGTCCTATCAACGTCTTTTATAGTAGGCATCAGCAAATATAATAACATCACTTTTTCTTTTCTTTTTTTATTTTTTTATTTATTTATTTTTTTAATATATTTTATTGATTTTTTACAGAGAGGAAGGGAGAGAGATAGAGAGTCAGAAACATCGATGAGAGAGAAACATCCATCAGCTGCCTCCTGCACATCTCCTACTGGGGATGTGCCCGCAACCCAGGTACATGCCCCTGACCGGAATCGAACCCGGGACCTTCCAGTCCGCAGGCCGACGCTCTATCCACTGAGCCAAACCGGTTTTGGCAACTTTTTATTTTCTTAATGTACTATTCTAACTAGCAGAACAGCTAAACACTATTCCAGCACAAAAGCAACTCACTTTAAAAAAATCTTCTTTGAAACAGAAGAAGGGAGAATGTTTTATTAAGGTGAAAAATAATCATTGTGTTAAAATTTACTTCCTGTGTAATTACAAGAAAACAGGGACTGAGTTTAAAGTAAAAGTTGAAAACATTTCCATTTACTGAAAATGAGCAATAAATTTAATGAAAACAGATTACATCATAAAAAAGTGAAAACTGCCCATAATGTACCAATCCACTAGTTATTTCTGTGTTGTGAACATTAGCCTTGATATTTGCAAACACTTACTTCTTTCCAATCTGTGTCTCGAACTCTAACAGTACCATCTACAAAGGAAAAACAAAAAGTAAGGGTTTAAAATGCTTCATTCATCCAGCATGAAACAGCAAGTTTGCTTCTGTCCTAAGGAAACGAAAGCATCCTCATTAAGCAGAAAAAGGAACGTGAATCCATCATTGGTTTAACACACACACTACCATTTATACTTTCTTGAACCTAACTCAGATCCTCTCTGGATGGCTGAGGGCAGCCGGCACTGCTCTGTGCTACGTGGCTCAATGCAGTGACTCCCTCAGGGATGCAGAGGGCTACACAGCTGTTCTCTCCTGTGCTAACTGACCCACACTACACCGTCTCCCCCTAACTCCATCTAGTGTGTCAGCTGCTTCTGACCCCAAATCTCATGTCACACTAAACCAGGTGACAACCTCTGAGTGTCTGTATTACAGCTCATGGTCACTACTGGAGGTCAAGCTGGTAAGGTTTTCTTCCGTAATTGGGTTAGATTTTCTCCCAAACATGTTCTGAATGATTCGACTCTCAGAAATTTGATCATAACTAAGTAATTTTCAATGTACTTACTTAAAATCTATGAAATGAGGAAAAGAACTCCTTTTAGTGACGAGTTTGGATAAAAGATAGTGATGTCTTCTCTAGAAGTTATTACATTGGCATGGAAGAAAAAGTTATAAAAGCTCCAGCCCCATAACATTGTATGTACAGGGAAATTCAAGAAAAAAATATGAACACTCAGCTTACAAATGAGCTTGTGGACCACAATCTGGAAATGAGGTAGAGACTGATTGTATTTTAAACCTGAACTCAAATATACAAGTAAAAAGTATTTGTTCCTTTCATGGGTATTTTTATCATAACCTGCTTTTTTTTGGTTGGATCTTCCATATATGTTGGTCATTTTGTCTTTTCATTTTGACTATAATTTTTTAAATTTCTGAGATGACATTTCCTGCCTCGAGGGACAAAATAACATTTTAAACTTTGGATTCAGGAGCAGAAACAAAGAATGAGGACCTCAGGAATCAAGAAGGAAGACAAGGAAAAACCAGGTCATTTGCACTTTCTACATTTTGAAGCTTTAAAAGAAAAAAATTTTGACAATCCAAATGACTCTACATGATACTTTTAATTTAAAAAAAAAAAAGAGGAAGGGGAACCTACCCATACATGTTTACTAGAGTGGTACATTATCATATATAGCACCATCATTCAAACTTTTTTATTTTACACTGTAACATGTAAGATTTTTTTACATTTATGTATCTATATAACTAAAATATAAGTTTACTCCTATTTTATAAAGTGCTGCTGACTTTCCTGTCTTTTTTTTGTAAAATGACCCCTTAAATTGATTTTGTGACCCACCCAGAGTCAAACCACAGTTTAAGAAAACACTGATATGTAGTAAAATGGTGTGACCGAAAAGAAGTTCCACACTCAGGCTTCCAGCCTTGTATCTGGAAACCCTGTGACATTTTGGAGAATTCTCCCCAGCCCCAAGTTCCACTGTCATCACTGCTGCAATGATGACCAGGTCACCTTAAATGTGACAATGCAGAAATACAGCTTCCCCAGCAACACGCCTGCCACAGCAGAGCAAGACTCTCTCCACTTGTACTCTGGTCACAACCACAGAAGTAGTTAGAAATGCAGTGGATTTCTAAGTCAGACACTGAGGATGGCCAATTGAGAATAAACCTATCTCACGTCCATTTTTCTATCCTGACGGTCTACTTAGTCTAAGTGGCTATTTGAGGAGAGTTTTCAGGACATAGGCAAAGGTTTATGAAGCTTAGAATCTCTTTACTATAGGCTGTATGTTATGATTATTTGCTACCCTAAAAAAGAAAACCTATAACTAAAAACTTCTGGCAAGCTGAATCATTAAGAACTAAGACCTCAGTAAGAAAGAGCCCCTTTCTTGTTAACATGTCATCATGGAAATCACCTCGAAAGTCCCGCAGATATAAACACCTCCACAGAAGTTGGTCATTTGACGCGATAAAGAGGTCACGACAAACTGCAGACAAAGACAGGACAGAACGAACGTCCAAAAGTCGGAAGATCCGTAGTTTCAGCTCCAATGGAAGGACTACCAACCCAAATACATCTGGGAGGTTCAGTGCTAAAAGGAGAAAAAGAACAAGTGTCTCTGAGTAAAGAACATCCAGCTTTCCCCACACATTCAACAAAAGCAGGCAAGTCGTTCCTTTATAGAGAGGTAACAAACTGGGTGGTGGCCTCAATTATCCAAGCACACACATCTACAACAAATTTTTAACCCCAGGATAACTAGATTACTACTACTAAGCCCCTTCCTTGTTCCCCTGTTTTAGTGGAAAGACAAATACTGTTTAATACAGATAGAAAAAATAATTCTGACAATTTGTAGATACTAGTCAATGGCTTCTTTTAATTCTCTTCTCAACTACAGAAAATGGATAATTCACTGGCTTTTATAACTGGCTCCCAATGCTGCCACTTATTAGCTGTGTGCTTTTGGACAAGTTACTTAAACTCTGCCTAACTCAATTTCCTCATCTGTAAAATGGGTTAATAACATTATCTACCTCACTAAGTTGGGAATTAAATTTATTAATACATATAGAGTGCTTAGAACAATGTTTGGCACACAATAAGCACTCAGGTGTTAGCAATTACTATTAGGCAGGCTTAAAAAAAGGAGGTAGAACCCAGACGGTGTGGCTCAGTGGTTGAGCGTCAACCTATGAACCTTTTGGTGTACAGGACAATGCTCCAACCAACTGAGCTACACCGGCCAGGGCAAGTCACTGCGATTTTTAAGTATTTTTTACTACAACACAAATAAGAGAAAGGTGACTATACAAGAATCTTGAGTGAATATAAACCTCACTGAATTATTCAGTTTCACCATCTATAAAATGAGAATAAAAGCTACTTCAAAGTTGTTAGCATTAAGTAAGAACACATGTGAAATATCCAAAGTACCTAGCATAGAGCCCCAATAAATATTATTTAAAAAAAAAAAAAACTTAGATGCAATTTACAGGCTATACATTATTTATTTATGTGTTATTGAACGTATTATGGGCCAGACCCTGTGCTAGGCCATGAGAATACAAAAGTGAGTAAGACATATTCCCTGCTTTCAAGTATTCACAACCTTAGGTGGAAAGAAATTATATCAACAATTATTATACACTGAATAAAGAGCTACAATAAAGATATGTACAAAATGCTATGGAACTACAAAGAGGGAGTGAATAACATTTAAGGAATTAACATTTAAGCTTAGTCTTAAAATCAGAGCAGAATTTCACTAGGAGGAGAAAAGAGGGAAGAGTCATGAGCACAGTACTTTAAATTCACTATTCTTTCTAGCCATTTGACCTGTGATCATTTATCATCTCTCACCTTGTCGGGTAAAAGCCAGAAGAGGATACACCAGCTGGTCTTTGAACAGGCGAGAGAGTTTCTGAAGATCTTTGTAGATGTTGGCTACATTTTTCCCTAGAATATTTAAAATAAAAAATCAAATAGAAAATCAAGTGGAAAAACTTGAAATGGTGTCCTCTACTTCAGCCAAACCAATCAAAGAGGTAAATAAATTTTCACAAATAATTCCAACATAGATATAAATCAAAATCTCCAATAGACTAGGGAGTATATAGCGTGAGACTCTGAAAGCTAAAATCCCATATCAAATGAATTGAGCTATATCCAATCTATACAGCTCATAGGCTATAATTTGGTAGGGAACACTAGATATACTGAACTAGAGGCCCGTGCACGAAATTCGTGCCAAAAGTAGGCCTTCCTTCCCCCACTGCCGGCACCGGCTTCCCTCTGGTACCCAGGACCCAGGCTTCCTCCGGCCACCGGCCGGCACCCAGGACCCAGGCTTCCCTCACAGCCCCAGCTTTCGTCCGGAAGGGTGTCCTGAAGAACATCTGGTCTAATTAGCATATTATGCTTTTATTATTATAGATATCTACCAATCTGCTCTGAGCACTGGGAATGCAATGGGGAACTGCTCTTGTGGAGCTTAGATTTAGTAAAAAACAGTGTTTATAACATGACTACAACTGTGTCAAGCAGTTTTCAAGCCTTCTTTAGAATCAGCAATTCTCCCTAAGAGATAAATACTATTATTCCCACTTTAAAGACAGGACAAGATATAGTGAGCCCATCCAAGGTCTTAGAGTAAGTGGCAGAGCAGGGTATAAGGCTAAGTAGGGCTCCAAAGCACTCACATTAGCCACTAAACTGCTACCAAAGTGTGGTCCATGGATCACCTGTATTGACATCACCTGGGAAATGTTTCTACATATTGAATCTCAGGACCCACCACAGACCTACTTAATCAGAACCTGCATTTTAATAAAATCCCCAGGTGATTTTCATGCACATTACATACAGCATGTACACTGTCAAATTGTGCCTAGAGTTCCCACTTTAGTTTTGCTATAAATTTACCAAGTGTATAACCTTAAACCTTCTGATCTGTACCTGTTTGCTCACCTGTTTAAAGAAGACATCACCACTGCACCAGATAAGTGTGGTTAAAATTTAAAGCTACATACACAGTGCCTAGTATTTATCAGTAGATAATCAGTTTATGCTTGCTCCCTCCCCAGTCCATATGTATGCAACTCACTATTCTATATAATAAAAGCATAGTATGCAAATTGTCCCCTCAACCGGGAGTTCCTCCAGGAGTTCACCAGGGAACTAGGGGGCAGGACCAGCTGGGAGAAGGGAGGGAGGCCCCGGCGGCAGCCGCTAAGGACCCTACCAGTGCACAAATTTCATGCACTGGGCCTCTAGTCTATAATAAAACATGCATTATAACTTGATAATGAATAAAACAAATATGCAGCTAAACTCTACATCTTTATTGCATGAATTACAATCTTGAGTTTAAATCAAATTTCAAGATATTTTTTAAATATATTTTGTTGATTTTTTACAGAGAGGAAGGAAGAGAGAGAGTTAGAAACATCGATCAGCTGCCTCCTGCACACCTCCTATGGGGATGTGCCCGCAACCAAGGTACATGCCCTTGACCAGAATCGAACTTGATACCTTTTAGTCTGCAGGCCAATGCTCTATCCACTGAGCTAAACCAGTTAGGGCAAATTTCAAGATATTTAAAAAATAAATTTGGTTTAATGTGAAAACTGATTTTCTATAAAAAAAAAAATTTCCTTCAGTGATCTATAATAAAAATAATTAGGGACTTAGAACAAAAGGATAAATAACAGTACCTAGTATGTACGGATACTATAAGCCACAGTAAACATTTATTTAAAAGACTTGTCAAATGAACAGCATATTCCTAACATAAAAAGTGCTACATTAAAAATATTCAATTAATATAGTCCATAAACTTGTAATAAAACTGTATTAACTTTTTCCCTCCCTTTCATTTCCTTTTTTCCTTTCCCTTCATTTCCTTTTTAACAGAAAGCAAATAAAGAACATGAACTGAGCTACATTTCTATAAAAGTTGTTTTTAAAAAAAGGCATAGGAGTCAAATCTATTCCGATCCTAAATTCCACCATTTATTAGCTCTGTGACCTTGAAGTAATTTAACCTCCTCTAGACCTATTTCCTGATCTATAAAATGGGCATAATAACCTCTACTGCTATAAAGTGTAGAGTATTTCTACTCCCCATAGCATAGAAGTGAATATACAGTGTTGTAGCCAAGGAATTTCTGGCCCTAATGGTAAGATCATCTTTAAAGATTTAATGAGTCTAGTTCATGCATTCGCAACAGGAGCAATATTGCCTCCAACAGGCAAAAATTGGTTCTTGGGAGGGCAAAAAAATAAAGTCCTAGTTATTACATTGGTTTTGCCCCTCCCAAGGGTCACAGTATACAAATACAGATATCTATGGTATTAAATTTTCATGGGGGAGAATGACTAGGGGGAAAAATGTGTAAATGGCTCTTTCGGGGATTGATAAGGGAAAAAAGGTTAGGAAACACTGGTCTACTACGACATTGTATGTTCAGAGACCATTATAAATATGTACAGTTGACCCTTGAGCAACACAGGTTTTAACTGCACAGGTCCACTGATATACAGATTTTTTTTAATAAACCACAATCAGCCATCCATATCCCTGGTTTTGCATCCTCAGATTCAACCAACAGCAGATAGAAAATAGTGTTTTCCATCCGCAGTTGGAAATCTGTGGATGCAGAGGGCCAATTGTATGCATTGGTCTGCATCATTTTATAAAAGGGACTTGAGCATCCGTGAGTTTTGGTATCTGCAGGGAATGTTGGAACCAATCACCCTTAGATACCAAAGGTCAACTGTAGTTAAGTTTCAGGGGAGTCAAAAGTTATATGTGTATTTTTGACTACATGGGGGATCAGCACCCTAACTCCAGTTTTCCAAAGGTCAACTGTATTCTGATGTCTGCTTTCTCTATCAGTTTTAGTTCATATACGTCAGTCTCTCAAGGCTTGATCTCCTCTGGGAACTAACAAGACTAAGTTAGGCCTTCAGAGCAAAGATCTAGATCTACATGGTCTTCCCTTAAAAGACACTGCTTTAAATGTCATCTCCCCCCTATACCACACCACTCTCCATCTGGATTTTAAACCCTCAAGTTTACTATGAGGATGAAATGGAATAACATCTGTAAAGGCACAAAACAGTACTTAAAGATGATACTTCCCTCTCTACCCCATCTCTTCTCCTTCAACCACCTACCCACATCTCATCCCTTGACTTAAGTTAAAAAAATAAAAACTTAATTTCTTTGCGTCTACTAATAATTTTATAGAACATAAACGAAACCATGCATAGAATGCAAACTTCTGGTAAAGGTCCAATCTACATCTAATAGCAACCAAATTTATATAGGTTTAAGCAAATATCTTCAATAATGAAGTTCCATTATACTAGTATGGTTCCCACAAAACATAGATCCTCTCCATACTGGCTAACCACAATGCCAGAAAAATCCACAAAGATTAATTCAGAAATTATGAAGCATCAATAATGTGCAAAAAATTACATACTAGTGTCATTACATAATGGCAATGTAAACATAATCCAGCATTCCAAGATCCTAAGAATAACAGGAAACGGAAACTCTGCATCATGGTCTTGAATTTGCTTTAATCTCATTCAGAAACTCAGTCTTTTGAACATTACCTTTCAGGTTTTTAAAAGTGAAGCTCTTAAAATGTCATCCCAAAAGTTAAATCACGGTTACATTACCTAGTTCCTCTTTGCAAATAAAAGATTCTGGCAGCAGCTGCAATCTTTTCACACTTCTAATCTCACTGTTGATTTTTAGTGTAGCTGTAAATAAGCAAAAGAAAGATGAAAATTCGTCACTTCATCAATTGCCTTCATTTTCCAGTATGGGACTGTATTTCCTTGCCCCCAATATACAAAGGACACATTATACAAAACAAACTGCTCTATGCTTATATCCTTCCCTCACAGCAAAGTCCAAAGTATAAACATGCCATTGCATGAATTAAAAATCACTCTAAAACACCCCTTAAAAACTACAGTAAGCACCTTTATATATAATACCTATATAAAAAGTATTACCAATAGCAGCTCATTAGTAACTGGAAGATATGCAACAAGGTTAATAGAAGACAGTTAAACACAATAAAATCATTATTTCTACCAGTATCACCAAAACTCCATTTATTTTTTATTTAACCCTTGGCAATGAGTCTTCCCTTGTTTATTAAATGAATCCTCTCTCTAGACCCAAAAGACCAATATTCTTGACATCACCAGAGAGTTCAATTTCATTCACATACACAAAGGCATACTTCATCTCATTCTATGAAAGAGCCAGTGATGTGCTTATGCACATGTGCACCGAACAGCATGTCTTTGGTGAAGGAGAGATTTAAGGACACACTACTCCTTTCAAAGAATCAAGCCTGGAATGGCTGTCTGCCATGCAAGTCTGCAAGCAGGTGACTTGCCAAGAATGGTAAATAAACGAAATATCGGAAATCATTAGACATTTAACAGCTATTCTCTTTTAAGTATCTTGAAACTCTAGTAAATAGAGGTTATTATACAGATGTTGTTAAAGAGTTTTAGTAATAAACTGAGGCAAAAATTACAACCTCACATTTACCATTTGGTAACTTCCACCTTGCAAGTTATGCTTAAATGGAGGCAGCAACTGCTGATCTGGGTGGAACACCCAACTAAAAGTTACATTTGTAATTGTCATGAAGTGCTGAAAAGGCATTGCTAGGTCCTCGTGCCATCAGATAGTCGCGTCCAGACAAATGTGGAATACCACCAAAGCTGTTAAAGCTGAAATTTTGAGACTTTTAAGTAACATGTCGAAGAATTGAGTAATTAAAAGGAAATAGCAGAAATTACACAAAAGGGCACCTAGAACTGTCTTTCAGCAGAAAAAAAAACACATTTTAAATCTTGTAGGGACCCCAATAAGTGAAATAGACAAACATGTTGCTGCTCAAGATTTAAGTGGAGATAGTTCTACTAAGCCTCCTCCTTGCTTCGTCTCAGCAGAAACTAGGAGCTGCAGAACGTGTTGAAAACCACTGAGCTAAGACACATCAAAGCGCCTGCTGCCTTTGCTATACAAAGATGAGCTGTGCTGAAAAAGAAAAAATGCAGTCATTCCAATATTATCCTTAAGAGGATAAACCTCAAAAATCAAAATGCAGCCCTAACCGGTTTAGCTCAGTGGATAGAGTGTCGACCTGCGGACTGAAGGGTCCCAGGTTCGATTCCAGTCAAGGGCATGTATCTTGGTTGCAGGCACATCCCCAGTAGGGGGTGTGCAGGAGGCAGCTGATCGATGTTTCTCTCTCATCAATGTTTCTAACTCTCTATCCCTCTCCCTTCCTGTCTGTAAAAAAATCAATAAAATATATTTTTAATTTAAAAAAATCAAAATGCAACAAAAATGCAAGATTCTAGTCACTCAAATGGATCTCCAGAATGTTGATTATGAAACTGTTCCAAACACCACTGATAGTTGGTATGGACATGTAGGTGGCATCTGAGCTAAAATGAAATTGGGATGTAATTTTCTTAATACTGAAGACAACTAGGAAAGAAACTATTAAGAGCAATTTTCTCAGGGTGGGGGAGAAAACACACACAGATTAAAGCCTCAGAACCCTTAGTGTTTGTGGGCATTTATATATTGTTCAGTGGTGCCAAACTGAATACAAAGGAACCCAGCTCAATCTCGCCTCTTACCATCTCTCAGTTCGAGACCTTGATTTAAAAAAAAAAAAAAGCCATTTATAGTCATAAAGAAACATATATTCTTCAAAGAGTTCATCTCACTCCTATTGTAACAACTCCCACCGGAGCAAAAAATAAATTATAAGGTTAAAACAGCAAAAGAGTAGAGCTGCTCAAAGAATGAAGGCTGCTAACCTAAAACATCAACCCGTAATTCTCTTTTTTCATATAAATATATTCTTATTGATTTCAGAGAGGAATGGAGAGGGAGAGAGAGAAATATCAATGATGAGAGAATCATTGATTGGCTGTCTCCTACACGCCCCACACTGGAGACTGAACCCTGACCTCCTCGTTCATAGGTTGATGCTCAACCACTGAGCCACACTGGTAGGGCCAACCCATAATTCTATAACCTTTCAGACTCATGTTATCAGTGGTACAGGGATTAAACAAAATTGAAAAAAGACTCATAACTATATCATAATGGGCAATTAATGAACTGGCTATAAAACATTTGGAGAGAAACATGTCAGTAATCGTAAACTAATGACTGCAACTATGCCATCCAATTACCATTTATGACGACTAGGGTTCCCAAAGGCACACAGGTGAGAGCAGCAAAGCCGCCCTCGCAGAGAGGATGCGTGTACTGCAGCTTATACACTCCTCCCGATTTCCAGTTCTCTGGCATGGAAATAGCTTTGGTTTCAGTCCCCTGGGGAAGGAAATTAAAGGGAAACAAATATAGAAATGTATTACTCTCAAAAAGATTAACCATCCAGGAAGTCCCTAACTTGTCTAGAAATAAGCATTCCTTACAATCCCCTTAATAAAATTTGTCAAATCATTAACATTGCTATGAATAAAATTTTGATAGAAAAAAAGTTTCCATATATTATCCTCCATCAAAATTTTTGTTCAAATAGATAAAATAATATCAGAGATGGAGTTAATTTCTCTCTTCAAAGACTCACTTCTCTGCTTACCAAGGTCATTATTCAAGAACCCAACTCAAATATCACTTTCTTTGGAAATCCCTTTTAAAATAAAATATATATATATATACATGCTAAGCGAAGTCAGTCAGAAAAAGCTAAGAATTACATGATTTCACTCATATGTGGGATATAAAACTGAAACTCAGAGACACAGACAGATAACAGTATGGTGTCTACCAAAAGGAAGGAGGTGGAGGAGTGGTAGAGAGTAAAGGAGGCCAAATATATGGTGATGGAAGATGACTGACTTTGGGTGGTGGGCACACAATGCAATATACAGTAATGTACACTTGAAACCTATTAACCAATGTCACCCCAATAATTTTTTTTTTTAAATCCTGCCCTGGCCATGGCTCACTTGGTGGGAGCTTCGTCCCAAACACCAAAAGGTTGTGAGTCTGATTCCCAGTCGCAGCACATAACTAGGATGCTGGTCGGGGCAAATATGGGAGGCAACCAATTGATAGTTCTCTCTCACATCAATGTTTTCTCTCTCTCTCTCTCTCTCTCTCTCTCTCTCTCTCTCCCCCTTCCTCTCTAAAATCAATAAAAACATATCCTTGGGTGAGGATAACAAGAAAAAATCATGTTTGTCATTCTCTTTCTTTTATCCACTAACATTCAGTTCATATTTCTATTGTTATGTACTTCTCTAGTGTTATTTATCATAATATATTATAATTTTCATTTTATTTATCTCCCATACTTGTGGACTCCTGAAAAGGACTATCTTTATATCCTGATTCCTGGCTCAGTGCATGGCATGGTGCAGGTGTTCAGTGATCACTGAATTACTGTTACTCATAATACCACCAGTTGTGGCATCGCTATTGTGTGAGACTATGCAGAATCTCAGGCTCCACCTTAGACTTATTAAATTAGAATCTGCATTTTAATAAGATCCTCAGGTATTCTGTGCACATTAAAGTTTAAGAAACTCTACTCTAAATGTTCTCTGTGAATCTCTGGCATCCTATCTATGGCTAAGTCTCTCCTAGAATTTAACCAATACAGTACAATGTTTTGTATACTTGTCTCTCTCACTCTTGAACTATAAGCAACCTGGGAGCAGAGACAAAGCACTGCACCTGACAATGGAGAATGAATGAATGAATGCAAGCAACTACAGCATAAGAACAATGTCCTCTTCCTAACTGAATCTTATTAAATTATTGGCAATTCATAGAGCCATTAATATAAAAAACCTAGTGTGTCATCATCTGTCTAGTCACACCCAATCCACACTCACTGAACACATTTTATCTACATATTATCCTACATACTGTAATCTTGTGGTTCTTTTAACCCAAGTTGCCATCACTTTTATAATATTAATTAAAAACTGATAAAACAAATGAAGAAAAAAAGAAAAGAGAATACTTACTGCTTGCCTACTGTATGCCTATCACTGTGTTCAGCATATTATATTTAATATACAACCACATTTAATAAAGAAATCTAGAATACACAACACAAAAATCTAGGGATATTTACTGATACACCTCCTTTCCTAATAGAAATGTAGACCCTAACAAGATGCTTGTCTTCTCTTGTCATCTTACCTGAGGTATGTAACCCGACTCCAACATGAGAAGATGAATGCATACTATCAAGGCATCACTGGGACTAGAACAGTCAGCTGACTGATACAGGGTCTCTAATGAATGGGGCACTTGCCCTTCCTCTGATTCACTGCAGAGCATTGGTTCTGAGGGGTAGAAACCTGTGTCTTCATCCATATCCACAATATCTTCAATTGACTCAGCTTCAACATTTTGACTAGGCCCTGGCTGAAAAGGATAACAAACAATGAATTCATTAAATAGACTTTTATACATGATATTTTGTATCCTAAAGTGAACTGAGATTAGTGCTCAAAGTCAAAGCACATTATTGGGTTCAGAAATGGGACACATTAAAGCAAGCCCTCCTACATAAATGAGCCTGCAATCTACTCCTCCATTCCAAATTCCTTATCTCCATTAACCTGGAAATCTTCCTAGATTTCTCAGTCTACGTTACTAAACCCCATCCCAATCTGATCATACTTCAAAGTTCCACTGAATCTATCTCCTAAGTATCTCTCAAATCTGCCCCTTCCTACTCCAACAGTAGTTCACACTCATTTATCTCCTGACTTCCAGCAACAGCCTCCCCAATACACCTGACTCCACTTTTTTATCTTCCATACATTCCACCCACTGCTGCCAGTTTTCTGACAATTAAGACTCCAATTATGTCCTATGTCCCAACTTAAACCCTGTCAGTATTTCCCCAATGTAGACAGCAGCATTTCCCTAAATTGTGCCTTGAAATGTGACCCTAGATGTTCTTAGGAAAGAAAGAGGTTGACAATAAAATAAGTTGGAAAATGCTACATGCTATTGCTACCTAACCTTCCCTCCATATTCACCAAGTATGCTGTGGCATTACAAAGCTCTGAGAAGTCCCATAATAATGAGCGCATAACCAAGAAAGGCTATCCTCCTTCCTCAACGCTCAGCTATCCTCCTTCCTCACTTACTTATCATCTCATGAAACAAGTCTTTCATAGAGGACATGCTGAGAAATGCAGGCCTACAAATAAAGTCCAAACTCCTAAACTCCTTAGCATACAAGGCCTTTCGTCACCTGATCCCTGACTCTGTATCAAGTTCACTTTCTGCCAGTCTCCACCTCTTCAACAGAAGTGACACCGACTACCCTCTGATTTGCAAAGGCTTTATTACTCCACTTCATCACACAGTATTGAAATTTTCTAATTACTCATCTACATCCTACCATGACCACAAACTTAGAAATGAACAAACTACATGTCACCTATTTGTATAACCCCAGTACAGTACCTAACACATAGTAGACACTCAGTAAATGATGAAGGATATCTTACAATTCATAATGTTTTTGTTTTCAGTGTTTTCTCATTTGCAACATGCAAAAATGCTATAAAATAGGCATGACAAATGATGTCACCTTTTTATACATGCTGTAATTGTGACTCATATTAAATTACAATCAAGGTTAGCAACTAATAAAACTTTGAAGTGAACAAGCTCACCAGATTCCCAGTTCATGGCTTTTAAACATAATATGCTGCTTCAATAAGACTACGTTACCTATGTTAACTTTGCTCACAAAGTTGGTTTTCTAGGCTTGTGCTCAACTCCTAATGCAAAGCACATGTTTCTTCTTTTTCAGTTCATGTTTCCATTAAAGAAGGGGCAGAGGAAATTAAAATTACATACTATGAGTCCAAGGGTGGGAGAATGTCAAGGAGCATGAGGCTATTCTAAAATCCCTGGTGGCTTATGAAAAACATCCAAATTCACTTGTTAAAACCTAGAGGGCAATGACAACTCACACTACCTAAAAAAGGAGGTTCCAATGGACACAGACACTGGGGCAGTGGGGGCTTGCGGGGGGGGGGGGGAAGGGGGGGGGGGGCAGTCAAGTGGGGAAAAAGGAGACATATGTAAAATTTTAGACAATAAAAAAAAAGGAGGCTCTATCATATTTTGAACAAACAGAAATTACTTATTAAAACCACTTAACATCTAACTAAATTATAAAACGTACAGGTTCTTTACTTCTTATCTACTAGAGGCCTGATGCACAGAATTCGTGCAAGGGGCTTGGCCCTCGCAGCCCAGGCTGCCTCGGCCGGCCCTCACAGCCCCTAGCAGCCTCAGCTGGCCCTCACAGCCCCAGCTTTGTCCAGAAGGTCATTTGGAAGGTCATCTGGACGGTCATTCTGCTGTTCAGTCTAATTAGCATATTAGGTCTTTTATTATATAGGATTATGCCTAACTTTGGGCCATTAACTACTTACTGACAGTTGCATGGGAGAATATATGTGAAAAAAATATTGAAAAGGTTGCCCTAAACTGATAATGACATAAGAGGAAGATATCAGAATCCCCTGGTGAACTTATCAAACCTTACTGCCACTCCATGAGAACCACTGGCATTCACTGAGCCATTCTGATATGATGAGAATATTTATCTTATTCTTCACGCATGGGGAAGTGAAAAAAAAATGTTCAGCACCACCTCTCTGAACAGATCATTTACTAGTATCATATGTCATTTACAAATGACTGGAACAAGTGACTAAAATGCAGCTTATAGCTAACATTAGGGTCTTTACCCAGTTATCTGTTTCCCATTAAAGAATCAACAGGTACTAAATGAGTTCCCAAATATAACGGCATCTAAGAAAATTAATTTACACTTAACTGCAAGAGTAAAATTTTCCTATTTTCATTTTCTAATGCTTCGTCCTACATTTAATTAGCAGACCCTACTTTTTCAAGTACTTAATGCATTATTTATGAGATTTCAAGCTGTTTCCACACGAAGGTTTTACAGTCGTCCTATACAAGTCTTAGAGCACAAAACAGCTTGCTTTTGGAACTTAAATTACTAACTTGAGGTAATATTAATTTCTCAAAAGTTTCCAAAAGAAAACTAGTAAAGTAACTATTACATATACTATGAAAAGTTCCATTTTACTGGACAATTTTAATAGTACACAGAGTAAAGGGAATGGGCCCTTCCACCAGAATCTCTGAAGGGGTCTATCAGCAAAAATGATTCAGAAATGTAAATACGTGACTGAATATTCTTACTCATTCCCTAGATTACCTCTATGAAACAAAAACACAAAATTACATAATAATTTCTAAAAAAAAAACAACACATAAAAGTAGGTACATTAAGCTTTATAAAAGCTTTTTTTAACTTGCTTAATCTCTCTGGATACTATTACTAAAAATCTGAACATAAATGCTTTTCATAATTTACAAACCTGTTAAAAAGTATTTTTTAGTATATGTATATACTGAAAGACACGCTAGGCACAATGAATAATTATAAATGTTTAAGGCCAACGAAAAAAATTAAGTTGAAGAGATAAGTACATAGACAAAACCATTAACAAGCTTACATATATATTATTAATAAAGTAATAAAAATTATCACTTGAGACTTACAAGAAATCAAAAGGCAGGATAAAAAATGAGGTGTTTCCAAGGCAATAGAGATAATAAAGATAAATTAAAGAAAAGTATTATGTTTGGCAGGGCCTTAAGACAGGTAGAGATACAGACAGGAGGGAGAGGAGAGGTAGTGAATTACAGGCTGGGTGAGCAGCAAGAGCAAAGGTGTGAAGCAGTCATTAGGTAGTGTGTATGTGTGCACATGTTGAGTGTGTTGGCTGGTAGAGGGAAAATAAGGAGTCTGGTCTGACAGGAGATGGCAGTTTACAGGAGGGAAGAACAGAAACCAGCCCTGTAAAGGATGTGGGGCAACTTCTCAGAAAGCCTTAAAAACTGGTACAGGGGGAGAGACATTTTCCTCCTCTGCACCATGACAGGGTTGAACTAGAGATATGTGGTCTTTTTCAATTCAAAAGTAGGAGCACGGGAATATCTGTGACAGAGTAATTAAGAGCAAGGGAACAATATAACCAAAAAGCTGTAGAAAGAAAATGAACCTAGAAAGTGCACTGAAGAACAGACATGAAAGCCTGAAATGGAAAGGAAACACTGACAGGGCTTGTTAAGGGGTTGGGTATGAGGAGTCAAAATCACTCCAAGGTTTTAAGGTCAGGAAAACAGTAGTACCAATGACAAACAAAAGAACATCAGTGCACATATTTTCAAATTTATGTTGGCATAGAGAATATGAGGTAACAATATTTTTTGAGGTGACAATTTTTAACACCCAGGTATAAATGTCCAGCAAATCATTTGGAAATAACTGGACTATGTATAGCCTTAACAAGTGGAGTAGACCAGAGAAGCAAAGCTGGGAACATAAGCTTAACCAGTTAACTGCCATGATATCTTGAATTAAAAAAGGTCCGCCACTTTTATAGACATGCATCTATAGACACTTATGGCATACAAATAGTTAAAGGCAGCGATAGAAGCCAAGGGGTAATTTATCTGAAGGGGTGAATGAATATCTGAACAAAATAAATAGGTAAAAACTGGGTTCTTCAGAATGCCCAATATTAATCCAGACATTTAGCAGTTTCAAAAATGTTTTCTATAAGAATATAATCTGCAGTCTACTAATGATAATGATCCTGACTGGCTCAGAATTCAATCAAGTATGATTTGTCAACTACCCATTTTCTGTCTGAACAGTAATACCCACCATACTGCCATCATTCCAGACATCGGATTGGGCTGCCTCTCCTTGGAATGAATCAGTCCGTTGTTCATCCTGTATGCTGGACTGACTGGAGGGGGTGGCCAAAGAGGGTTGGTCATTATTCTGGAGTGAGGAATGCTCTGAATCTGTGGATGAAGGTAAGTTAGGTGCTGGAATGGCATCTTCAAGAATCAAACATATCAAGTCCCCAGAAACAATCCCATATGAAGCCAAGGTCTCTTCATCTCCAGTGAGGGCATCCTTGTTGTTCAATGTAATTGCAAACCGGGTATCAGAACTGCCAAAAAAGATGGATAAGGATGGTAAGAGCTACCTGTTACCACTATCCTCAACAATAATATATTTGGAACATATATAAGATACATGGTCTGACCCTAGACGAACTAAATAATGAAAACGAAACAAAAATAAGAAGGAAGCCAAAGTTTGGAAAAACAACCAAATTATTTGTTCTTATCACCAAATGCCTAGGTTACAGATTTCTAATGGCAACAATTCTAGCCTGTGGGATAGGATACAGTAATTATCTATCATTAATCCATGTTTTCATCAATTCTAAGGCACATACTTTTTTTATATTTTGATCTTTGAAATAAGGATGCTTCTTAAAATCTATGACATATCACAGCTTAACAGACAGCATTTTTTCCTTTAGTGCTACATAAAACAATGTCTTAAGAGTGAATTCAACTGAGATTCAACGAAATATAGTCTTTTTAAAATGTAAATTATAGCATTCCTCTGCTGAAAATCCTCCAGTGGTTTCTATTGAACTTGGAACAGAGTCCTTAACATGGCCTCCAAGCCCAAGAGTTGATCCCGACCTGCTTCTCTACCTCACCCACCTTGTGCCATCCTTCCTCTCACAGACTGTTCTCTATTCACATGAGCTTTCTATCTGTCCTCAAAACAAATCTACTTCATTGCAGACTTTGAGCCTCTGCATTTGCTCTTCCAGCTCAACTGACTCCCATCATTCAGGTCTCAACTCAGAAGTCACCTCTTCAGAGATGCCTTCCACCAATCTCCATCACTTGATTTCATTCTCATGTTTATTTTTATTGTAACTCCGCTATTTGAAAATATACTTGTTTATATGTTGTCTCTCTTTCCAAACCCCTACATTAGAAGTTAAGTTTCATAAGATCAGGTATCTTGTCTGTCTAGTTCAAAACTGTATCTGCAGCACGTGGCAAATAAAAGTATTTGTGGAATAAATGCAACCAACATTGGATGAGACTGAAATAAGGCTACCCATTCAATGCCCTTACAGGACAGTTAGCTTATGTTGGTTCCAAAATACTAAACCCATGTCCTAAATGAATATTCGTAATCACAAAAAGTTGGATGAGTATATGTAGATGACTGAATACAAATTCATTCCTCCTACTGGTAAGTGTAAGTTCTCTTCTTTCTGATGACCAGCTATGATGTCTTGTACAGGGAAGACAGCACAAATCCAAAAACTCACTGGTAAATAAGCTCAGAGCTCAAATTATCCTAAAGCAATGAACCCCCCCCCCGCCATTTCTGTATCACAGAGTATCTGACCTGAAAGAATAACCATCATTTCACCATGTAGTGGAAAGCAATAATTAACAATTGCAGAACATTTTATAAGACATCTACACACAGCAATGCTGACTTCGTTAACTTCTTGAAGTCAAAGGATGAAGTCCTTTGAAAAATCATGCTGTTTATTCTTTCTCACAATGCTGCATTTTCAAAAGTGCTTGAAATAATTCATTGTTTTTCCTTTCACGTTTCTTCTTACCAATTAGAGTGTCTTTGGTTGAGAAATTACTGAAGTTTTAGAAACTACTCCTGATGACCTTTTAAGCTCATTAGGAATTCCCCTCCTAGAAACTTCAGGCCTTTTAAAAAATGTTTTATGGCAACTCCAGATCCACTTACTCAGCAAAGACATTTTAAAAAATAATAATGTCATATGGACAAATTTTAAAACTGCCTTTTATAAAATGAACATATATCCAGAAGCTACAGTCCTTCCAGTTAACCAGCCTCTACTATGAAAACAAACTTGAAAGAGAAACTAACTTGGGCTCTTGGGTAAACAAGGAGTCACAGTGTGTTGCACATCCGTTTAAGACCGCCCCTCCTAATTAAAATAATAAAAATAATAATAATACACACATGAAAATACCTTAAAAAGAGAGGTTAATTTTGAAAATCTGTGGTGGGGTAATGAAGTCCGCATGCAAAACTCTTAGGTTTAACACCAAGAAATTACAATAGGCATGTCACTTAGTATGTTTAAAGGGAGTTATGTCAATACCTCATTTTCTATTTTTGTCTTAATTTGGAAAAAAATCAGGCCTACTTTTAACCTGAAAAATGGAAGGGTGAGTAGTTCATAATATGGTCTCATTTTTCTGAATTCCCCACAAATAAAATGGAAGTTTGCAAAAGGAGCCACTTAATTAACAGAAAGGTTTTCTTTTAAAGAATTCCTCTAAAAAGCCCCAGCGAACTTTTTTTTTTCTTAGCACAAAATTCCAAATTTGAAGAGGATCACCCTTATATCCCTCTATTCCCAGATTATTGTCCCCAAAAGATACCCTCAGTGGAAACTAAGCTGCCGCATCTGCAGCCCCGTAAACAACAGACTTTGATCCTTTCCTTCTCAACGTCACTGCCCCCAACGGTAAGCCTCCAGAGTCATCTTAAGGCCCACGCGTACCTTCGTTTTAGCAAAAAAGCAACATCTCGCCCAGGAAAATAGGATTATTTGAAACACCCGGACACGCTGCACTTCGCAAAACTTTGCAGCGGTCCCTGGCCGGGTAGCTCCGTTGGTTGGCGAGTCCTCCCCAAAGGCCAAGGTTGCAGGTTCAATCCCCAGTCAGGACACATACAAGAATCAACCCATGAATGTACACATACGTGAAACAACAACTCGATGTTTTTCTGTCCCTAAAATCAATTTTTAAATAAATAAAAACTTTGCAGGGCGCTCACTGCGGCGCCCGCATGTAGAAAACACCCAGTGAAGCCTTCCGATTATTGCAGCCTCAGTGCAGCTCAACAAGGTGCAGGTGGCCTCGGAGGCGGGGCCGACTGCTAACTCCTTCTAGTACTTTCCGAACTTTTTCACTGAAATACCCCGGCAGCTGGAGAGGGTGAAGTTACATCCCTAGGGGCCTGATAAGTTTTAACCCAAACCAAACCCGTAATTTCCAACTTGACGTCTTCAAGGGCGGGGGAACTCTGCGCGCCGCCGGCCTATCCCCCGGTTCGTTTACTGGAAAAACGGAAGCGACAGCTCACCCTGGAAGGGGACGGAGCCCCCCGGACGCCCGGCCATGTCCTC